GGAGGGGGCAGAGGAGGAGGAGGAGAGGGAGGAGGAGAACAGAAAGAGGCAGCAAAAGGAAGAGTGGGAGTGAGGTGAGGAGAATAGGGGAAGGTGAAAGGGTGTGGACTAGTGGGTAGAACACAGATTTGGAGGCGGCAAACCTGGATTTAAATCTTAATTCTACCCAACAGGTCAAAAATCTCAAACATATGCATGGCTTTTCCTAAAATCCTTGTGCTCTAGGACTTTATAGCACAGAAATGATCCGGACACATCCCAGAACATGAATGAGGGCAATGCTTGATACACTTCAGAAAAACGAAACAACCCACATGTCCAACACGGGGAATGCGAGGTCGAAGATGCAATCCGTGTAGCGGCCTCTCGCACAGCTATTCAAAATGACGCTGCAGACCCGATGTGGTGGCTCACATCTGTAATCCCAGCACGTGGGGGAGGCTGAGGCAGGGGCATCACCTGAGGTCAGGAGATCAAGATCAACCTGGCCAACATGGTGAAACCTCATCTCTATTAAAAATATAAAAATTAGCAGGGCATGGTAGCAGGTGCCTGTAATCCCAGCTATTCGGGAGGCTGAGGCAGGGAGAACTGCTTGAACCCAGGAGGCGGAGGTTGCAGTGAGCCGAGATCACGCCACTACACTCCAGCTGGGGCGACAGAGAGAGGCTCCGTCTCAAAACAAAAAAACAAAAAAAATGCTGCTGCAGGAGAGTGCTGGGTGCCACCGGCAAGTACTTCCACGCCACAGTGGAAAAAGGCTACAGAGGAGTATGTTTCGTGGGACCCCAGTTTCATCAATAGGCCCTGAAAACTGCAATGCGCCACATATCTAGATTTGGGTGGTAAGATCACAGGTTTCTCCTTTCTTCCTTGGTGTATCTTTTCTAACTTCCTATAGTAAAGATGTATTACTTTGGTAATCTAATATTTTTGTCATAATAATTTCTAAAATCCTAGCTCCAGCACCAACTGGCCAGGGTACCTGGTATGTAGGCACTTGATTGCCAGGCAGGGGCAGCTGCGAGCCTCTAGCTCTACTCAGGGCCTGGCAGGGGTCCAGCAGGGACCGGCCATGGGGGGACCACACTTTCGCTGGGCTCTCAGGATGTCCAAAGCCTGATCAGGATGGGAAAGTGTGGAGGCTGCATACTCTGCTCCAGCATCATTCAGAGTACTCTGGGTCTCGGGACAAGGACAGCAGCTTTTCCAATGGAAGAAGGCAGGGAGCAAGGGACAGAGGGAGGAAGGAAAAAATGAGCAGGACTGAAGGGGAGGATGGGAGAAGGAGTTCTGGACATGGGGAGTTTAAGAGCAACATAAGCCAGGTGCAGTGGCTCATGCCTGTAATCCCAACATTTTGGGAGGCCGAGGCAGGAGGATCGCTTGAGCTCAGGAGTTGGGAGGCCAGCCTGGGAGACATACTGAGATCAAAACAAAATGAGCTGGGTGTGGTGGTGCCTGCCTGTGGTCCCAACTACTCGGGTGACTGAGGTGAGGGAATCACTTGAGCCCAAGGCTGCAGTGAGCTGAGATCAGCCTGGGCAACCTAGTGAGACCCTGACTCAGAAAGACAAAACAGACATGAGTTCCAGTCTCAGCACCATGCTTTGTTAGCTGTGTGGCCTGAGGCCAGTAACTTCTCCTCCCTGAGATTTAGTTTTTTCATCTATAAAACAGGAGCTCCTGTCGCCTCAGGTCGCTGTGAGGATTAGAGATAATACTTGTTGAGGGCTTAACCCAATACTTGCCACCAAGTAGGCACTCAACAAATGACAACGGTGAAGATGATGAGTAGTCCATCAATAAAAGCAGAGTCAACACTAAAACAGTAATAATAGCACCTAACATGTATTAACCTATTTGATGCCCAGAGGTATCTATAAGGTCATAAATGGAGCAATGGATGCCCAGGGCTTGGGTCACTTGCCCAAGTTCACACAGCTAGGAGGTGGCAGAGCTGAGGTGTGAAGCCAGACATCCTTGTTCTGGAATCTGTGCTCTTAGCCTTTACCCACTATTGCCTAACTACAAAGCATATTCAAAGTTTGCAGATTCGAGGCCAGGCGCGGTGGCTCACACCTGTAATCCCAGCATTCCGGGAGGCCAAGTGGAAGGATCGCTTGAGGCCAGGATTTTGAGACCAGCCTGGGCAACATCGCAAAATCCCATCTCTAGCAAAAATACAAAAATTAGCCCGGCTTGGTGGCACATGCCTGTAGTCCAGCTACTGAGGAAGATGAGGCAAGAGGATCACTTGAACAGGGAGACGGAGGCTGTAGCGAGCTGTGATCGCACCGCTGCACTCCAGCCAGGCAACAGACCGAGACACTGCCTCAAAAACCGAACGAAAACCCGCAAAGTGTGCAAATTCTCTCAGAAAGGAGAGGAGTGGTTGTTGTCATTTTTGGGAATAAGGAAACGGAGGCTCAGAGAGATACAGTGACTTGCCCAAGGCCACACAGCTCAGGAGAGGCAGTGCTGATTTCCTCGCCTGATGCCTCTGACTCCAGGGCCGGAGTCTGCGTGGAGGCATTAGGGGCTCCACTCACTTGGACAGGGAGACACCACCGGGCTTGCCAATGAGGTCTTCATGGTGGAGGACAGCGTCGCTCCAGGCGATGCCAAGGAAGTCGAGGATGAGCTTGAGGGAGTGCTTGGGGTGCAGCACCAGCTGCTCGTAGTACACGGGCAGGCACTTGTCCTTGCCCACCTCCATGCACTGGGCGTACATCACCTCGATGGCCTTGTTCCACTTGGTGAGACAGTCACGGTAGCTGCTGAGGTCGAAGCCCGCGATGGTGACTTTGCGCGTGATCATGGAGTGCACGGAGGCCCGGCCGTCCCGCACCATCAGCAGGAACTTGGAGTTGGGGAACAGGCGTGACAGGTAGACGGAGGACTTGAGTGTAAATGGGTCCTTGTTGCAGAGCACGCGGGCCGGCTCTCCGTGCTTGGCGATCACCTCCAGGATGAAGGCCTGCATGGCGGCGTCCAGCACCTCATCGGTCACCCCCGCCTCGTCCAGCCGCAGCTTCTCCCGGCCAGACTTGGACCAGGCCTGGCGCATGGCCAGCACGCGAGGGATGATGCGGGTCTCCTCGCCGCAGCGCACCTCGGGGTGGGCATCCAGCATGGCGCGCATCAACGTGGTGCCGCTGCGGGGAACGCCGCCCACAAAGATGAGTGGCATGGCCTTGCCGTAGCGGTACTCCACGTGGTTGGTGCCCACCATCACCAGCTCCTCCTGCTCCGGCCGCATGGTCCGCCGGGGGCTCCGCAGGCCCGCCAGCACCGCCTGGCACTCCAGCACCTGCTGCCCCAGCTGGACTGCCAGCACCAGGGCCAGGGCGCAGCCGGCCGCCAGCAGCACCCTCCGCACCGACAGGCGCATGCTGGGCCGGGGGCGTGGCAGGCCCAGCCTGGGGGCCCGCTTCTGGGGCTTCAGCGACAGGTTAGCGGGCAGCCCGCCAGGCTCACATCTGGGGAGAGAGGGGGACATGCACAGTCAGGAGGGTCTGTGAGGGGTGAGCTCTTCAATAACTGCAACACCCTGTAACTGCAAACAAGACGCTGCTGACATGAATGCAGAGGGCACCGTTCATAAGCACTCACTGTGCACCTGGCACCCTACCGGGTGCTTTATCTTTTTTATTTTTTAAAGAGACAGGGTTTCGCCATGTTGCCCAGGCTGGTCTCGAACTCTTGGGCCTGGGTGATCCTCCTACCTCAGCCTCCCAAAGTGCTGGGATTATAAACATGAGCCATAGGTCGAGTCTTTTTTTTTTTTTAAGTGTATTTTTTTAACACTTTTTTTTTTTTTAAAGACCTGACCTATGGCTCATGCCTAGAATCCAGCACTTTGGGAGGCTGGTGGCTCACGCCTGTAATCCCAGCACTTTGGGAGGCCGAGGCAGGTGGATCACAAGGTCAAGTGTTTGAGACCAGCTTGACCAACATGGTGAAACTCCGTCTCTACTAAAAATACAAAAATTAGCCAAGTGGTGGTGCGTGCCTGTAATCTCAGCTACTCAGGAGGCTGAGGCAGGAGAATCACTTGAACCCAGAGGCAGAGGTTGCCAAGATCGTGTCACTGCACTCCAGCCTGGGCAACAGAGTGACACTCTGTCTCAAAAAAAAAAAAAAAAAAAGACTGGAGTGCAGTGAATGGTGAGATCATAGCTCGCTGCGGCCTCAGACTCCTGGGCTCGAGCAATCCTCCGCCTCAGCCTGCCGAGTACCTGGGACTACAGGCACACACCACCGCACCTGGCTAATATTTAGAAACAGGGTCTCGCCGGGCGCGGTGGCTCATGCCTGTAATCCCAGCACTTTGGGAGGCCGAGGCGGGTGGATCACGAGGTCAAGAGATCGAGACCATCCTGGTCAACATGGTGAAACCCCGTCTCTACTAAAACTACAAAAAATTAGCTGGGCATGGTGGTGCGTGCCTGTAATCCCAGCTACTCAGGAGGCTGAGGCAGGAGAATTGCCTGAACCCAGGAGGCGGAGGTTGCGGTGAGCCGAGATCGCGCCATTGCACTCCAGCCTGGGTAACAAGAGCGAAACTCTGTCTCAAAAAAAAAAAAAAAAAAAAAAAAAAAAAAAGAAACAGGGTCTCACTTCAAGCAATCCTCCTGCCTCAACCTTCCAAAGTGCTGGGATGACAGGCATGAGCCACAGTGCCCAGCCACTTTACCCATCTTAACTCATGGGACCCTCCAACAACCTTAGGAAGGGAGGTACTGTTATCAGCCCAAGGAAGGTGACAACCTGACGGCCTGAGTTCAAATCCTTCTCCCTACTTCTTAGCTATGGGACCTTGGCAGGGCCCTTAATCCCTTGATGCCTCAGCTGTCTCATCTGATCTACGGAGACAGTAATCCCATTATAAAGTTTACCATCAAATTATACAATGCTAGATTCCAGCATGTCTGCTCCACGAGGGCAGGGAGTTTTGCCCACTTTGTTCACTGCTGTACCCCTCAACTCTTAGCACAGTGCCTGACACCTAGTAGTTGCTCAATAAATATTTCTGGAATGCGCCTTGGTTGAACGAGCAGAGCCTGGCACAGGTTAAGTGCTATGAAATCATCATTGTAGAGAGAAGAGGAAACTAAGGCACAGAAAAGGTGCTCGGGTGCCCAGCTGGGAAGCAGCCAAGCCAGGGTCCACGGTTCAAACCCATGCCAGCCGGCTCTGCTCTGAATCGCCACTCTGCCTCACTGGAAAACATTTTTCAGAAGGCTGAGCATGTCGTGGTCTAGACTTCTTCCAGGATCATCATTCCATCATTTGTTCTTCATTCACTCAGTGCCAGGCACTGTGTTTGGTGCTAGAAACAGGACAACAGACAAGATAGCCAGGACTCTGAACTCACGGAGCTTAGGTCCTAGCAGGAGAAGCAGACAATACACAAGGTATGGACACACCATGATAACTGTCTCAAAGAAATGAACAGGACACTGTGAGAGGGACCAAGGAAGGAAGGAGGAGGGTAGTCAGGGAGGGCTTCCTGAAGGAGGTGCTAATCCAAGCCATGACCAAGATGAGAGGGAGCCGGCCGTGCAAAGACATGTGGGGAGCGTGTTTTAAGCAGAGAGAACACAGAGTGCAAAAGCTCCCCCAGGTGAGAAAGGGTGTGGGGTCTTCAAGAACTTGAGGCTGAGAGTGGCGGCTCACACCTGTAATCTCAGCATTTTGGGAGGCCAAGGCAGGAAAATCACTTGAAGCCGGGAGTTTGAGACCAGCCTGGGCAATTCAGTGACACTTATTTCTATGGGCGTGGTGGTGCCTGCCTGCGGTACTGGCTACTCAAGAGGCTGAGATGAGAGGGTCACTTGAGCCTGGGACGTCCACGCTGCAGTGAGCTGTGACTGGGCCACTGCACTCCAGCCTATGCAACAGGGCGAGACCCCGTCTCAAAAAAATAAGGAAAAGAAACGGAGAGAAGGCTGCTGGGGCTGGAGGGGGAGTGGGAAAGGTGTGGTGAGGCCAGGCAGGTCCTCGGGAACAGGGGAAGAAGGAGCTGGACTCGCTCAACAGACAGCCCCTGAGGGGTGAGGATGGACATCAGGAGGCCAGGCAGGAGTCTCTTGCCCGTGTCCTGGGGAGGCTCAGAAATGCTGGACCTTTAAGGATGAGTGGGGGAGGAAGGGAAAGGACCACTTAGGACATGGACGATGCCCCTGAGCCTGGGCTCCTCATCCCCCCGCCCCGAGGAGCTGCTGCTAAAGATCAGATTTCAGTGGCAGTTTTTCAGGCTCATATTAAAAAGCAAGGCCACTCCCTCTGTCACATCCCTGAGTAACAGATCTGCCTTCCTTCCCAGTTCATCCCCAGAGCCCCCTGATTTTGCAACTTGAGCCCAATGCACAGAGTGCAAACCGCGGCCCTGGAGGGACACTCGGCCAATCTCACAGTGCCCCAGCCATTCCCTGCTTCACCTCTGCCGTGTTTCTGAGGCTTAGTTTCCCTGACTGCCCCTTCGACCCCTTTCCAGAAGCAAGGTGAGGGCTGAAGCCTCTGGGCATTCAAGGAGTCAGATAGGCCGGAGTTCAAATCCCAGCTCTGCCGCTTCCTGGCTGAATGAGCCTGGGCAAGGGACTCATCTGAGCCTCGTCTGTAAAATGGGCCTAAGAGTGTCAACCCCAAAGGGCTGTCATGAGTAGTAGGCAACCCTCTAGATGGAAACTATTTAAGGAGGTGCTCAGCACATAGGAAGCCGTGGAAAGAACAGTAGCAATTTCTTTTATTTATTTATTTTTTTGGAGATTCAGGGTCTCACTCTGTCACCCAGGCTGGTCTCAAACTCCTGGCCTCAGGTGATCCTCCTCCCTTGGCCTCCTAAAATGATGGGAATACAGGCATGAGCTACCCCATCTGGCCCAAGAACATCAGTGATTTCTACCACAATCAGTGTTGATTTATTCCAACATTTAATGAGCACCTACTATGTGTTGGGAGCCTCAGCCTCCCAAGTCTACTCTTACCATGGACCTGTGACTGAGAGAGACTGATGGGTTGTACCCGCATAGGTGAGGGAAGGTCTCCTTCAGGAGGCAGCCTTCACGCAGAATTTTGAGCCGTGGGTAGAAAACAGGCAGGTGGAGAACAGTAAGAAGCATGTTCCCAGCAAAGGGAACAGCCAGTGCAGAGCCACAGGCAGGAATGAATGCAGCACCGTCGGGCCACTGCAGGCGGCTTAGCGAACAGAGGATCTGGTGGGCGCCAGTGGGGAGACAGCATGGTTCTTTGGATGTGAGCTTCCACCCAAAACCACCCGAGGGCCCCGTGTGCGGCTGGGCCTAGCCACTCGCAGAGGCTGGGGCTGCCTGGGCCTTCTTAAGCTATAGCAAGTGGAAAATGAACATCAAAGCGGAGGGCACACAGTCTCAGGCCTGGGGTGGAAACTGCTGAGAGACTAGGACTTCCTGGCAGTGTCGCTTTGGGAGAGTCACTTCCCCCATCTTAGCCACAGTTTCTTCAGCTGCAAAATCAGGGCGGATCCACTGACCTTAGAGGCTGTTGTGAGGGTGTGAGAAGCAGCTGACAAAGCAGAGACAGATCTCGGGCTGGGGTCACCGGCCTCTCTGAGCATTGGGGAATTTCCCGCTCTTTAGAAAGACTGATGAAGTTCTGCTGAAGAGGCTGGGGCGTCACTGTACCCTCCATTCAAGGTCTGTGATGGGGAAAGCTAATTCAGAGCTACTTCCTGGGGGAGGCAGGCTGAAGAGGACATGAAGCCATTCAGAAATCCCTGCAATGACCTGTCATCTTCTTCAGATGCTCAGTGAAATCCTCCCCTTAGACCCCTGACTAGAATTCTCTCAGTTATTAGGATTTCAGGGATAGTGTCCCCACCTTGGTGGGGGAGAGCTGTCAATCACACCTTAGCTTAAATTAGACTAATCACCCTTTTGGATGAACCCATGAAGATGGGGATCCAGAGAAAGGGAAATAATTTGGAAACTGTAAGCGGCTTCCAGAAAAAAGTGTGTCCAGTGTGCATGCCACTGCGTATGTATGTATGCATGTATGTATGTGTACGTGTGTGTGCTCTCCAGCCTATGCTGGGTTTGGTACCAAGGGAAAAAGCCTGAAAGCAGGAACAGACAAAATAAGGAGAAATGTATCAGCTCTCCAGTTTTGCTTCATACTATACAGTAATCATTCATTTGATTTCAGCATTTTTCTTTTT